CATATAGATGAGAAAGTTCTTTTAATTCCATTTTCCACGAACTTTTTGAAGCCTCTTGGTATAAACATGTCGATTTATTTCAAGGAAATGATTCAGACAATGGTGGGGGCTGGGAAGTTCCAAATCCGTGGATCAAGCCACAGGCTGGAAGATTACGGGCTCATATCCTAATAACCAAATGAACAGGCAGCAGGTCCTGAGAAGAGTGTGAGATCAAAGGAGCAGTGTCGAGGAGAGCAAGCAAGTGAGCCCTGCAGGGACATCCGTTTACATCCTGCCGCAACACAAGCCCCACCCAGAGAAACTCCTCTTCCACCTGATTGGTTAATCACATCGCATCCTAGAAGGGATTTCGTTACATTACATATGGAAGAGCGATCAGTCCATTTTCTCCCTTCACTGAGAAATCATAGCCCAGCCAAATTGATGCATTAATCATCATGGTATACCTAGAGTTTCAAACAAGTGGTATCAAAGAGTGTTCATGGAAAAGTCAGCATCTGTATTAGTCTGGGTACTTTGGAGAAACAAATCCACAGCAACTCACGTATAAGAGAGAGTTTTATGCAAAGAAAATGTGCACATCAAGAAAACATCCCAACCCAATGCTGCCCAAGCCCACAAGTCCAACATTAACCCATTAGCCCAACACCAGTCCACAAAGTCCTCCACCTCACAAAACAGAGGCAGTGATGCCGACTGCAGGAGGAAAGCTGAGTCAGTGAACGTGTAAGCATCTCAGCACTGGCAGGGGTCTCCACATGGCTGCTCCAGCACCCAGGGCTGCATCGGGATAGATCCAAAAGGAAACTGAAGAGGGATGTCTTGAAGGAAATCCATCTTGCAAGCTGAAGCAGGGAACTGCTAAGGCAGCTGCACCCGATGCAACCATCACAAAACAAGAGACCCAGGAACCAGAAAGGCGAGGCTTCACCACCCATTTATCCCTCCGCCTTTCAACCAACACCACATGTGATTATCGGCCAGGCTGGCACAATTAACTAACTCAGCATCCTTATGATTCCCAAAGATAACATGAGACAGAGTTCCCAGAGCAAACTGCTATTATTTCTTACGTTTATTTTTTATGCATATACAAGGGTGAATCAAAAAGGTTGCAGCTCATACATGCACAGGTTTATTCCAAACACAAATGTCTTAAATGTATCTCTGAGATCAATTGATGGCTACAAACAAGTTCTCTCAGTAATCTTGCTAAAAAGGAAACAAACAAACACCACATTGCCATCTCAAACTCAAACCAAATTCATTGCCATTCAATCCATTCTGACTCACAGCTACCCTATAGGACAAGGTAGAACTGCCCCTGTGGGTCTCAGACTGTAACTCTTGAGGGGAGGATAAAGCCTCATTTTTCTCCCACAGAGTGGCTCATGATTTTGAACTCCTGAACCTGCAGCCACCAGGGCTCCTAGTTCATCCCAACTGAGAGCAACACTGTAGGATGGATTCAAACTGCCCCTGTGGGTTTCCAAGGCTATAAATCCTTATGAGAACAGAGAGCCTCATCTTACTCCTGCTGAGCGGCTGGTGGGTTTGAACTGCTAACCGTGCAGTTAGCAGCCAATCCCATCCACTTCGCCACCAGGTCCAATCAAAACGGTATCTTCTTAAAAAAAAAAAAAAAAAAAGCCAAACAAACCACAGTATCTTCCAAGGGGATCTGCTAAACTAGTTAAACTCAGGGTGGAAAGATCAGCTCAGAAGGTGATGGTGACAAAATATAGTATCTTATCATTTGATCCCCCTTTGGATCAATTTTAAGCTGTTTCAGCTGGGTTTTGTTGTTGTTTGTTTGTTTGTTTGTTTGAGTGAGTGACGGGGAATGGATTAAACCGCTGGTGAAGCCTCTCTGACCATGGACCCGCTCTGACCATGTGAGAAGCCTAGCCAACATGCAGAACACGTTGGAAAGCGGATTGTTGCAGACGCAGTTAGGTTATTAACACCCTTTCATTTGCTCTCCCTTATGATCCACTTAAATTTGGTCTAGTTTCTTTATATATATTTTTATATTTCTTTTTGATTGAAGATTTTGTTTTACTTTGATATTCTTGTTAGGTTTTTTTTAGCTTGTTTTTTAATGTTTTTCTGTATATGAAATGCAGGATAAGTAAATCTATAGAGAGAGTAACCAGGGTTCTTTTGGCAGGAGAGATGGGGGGAAATGGGGAGCTACTAACAATGAGAATAAAAATGAATAAAATGCACACACACCCTCAACTATCATGACTTGAATTCTATCTTACAAATCTGGCTATACCAGAACATGTATACTGGTACAGATAAGAAGGGAATCCAGAACAGATAAACCCTTCAGGACCAATAAGGGGAGCAGTGATACTAGGAGGGTAAGGGGGGTGAGGAGTAAAGGGGAATCTATCACAATAATTGACGTATGGCCCCCTCCTAGGGCGACGGACAGCAGAAAAGTGGGTGAAGGGAGACAGCGGTCAGTGTAAGACATGAAAAAAAAAAAGAAGGATTTATAAAGTGTCAAGGAGACGTCGAGGAGGGAGGGTGGGAGAGGGAGGGAGGAAAATGAGGAGCTGATACCAAGGGCTCAAGTAGAAAGAAAATGTTTTGAAAAAGATGATGACAACATATGTACAGATGTGTATGACACAATGGATATATGTATGGATTGTGATAAGAGCTTTAAGAGCCCCTAATAAAAAAATTTTTTTTAATTAAAGCATTTAGTTAAAAAAATGAATAAAATGTTCTTAAATTGATTGTGGTGGTGATTGTACACCTCTTAATGTGACTGAATCGTTGAATTGTATGATATGTGAATTATATGCCAATAAAACTGTTGAAAACAAATAAATGCATATTGTTAAAAAAAAAGTTTATGGTGACTGTTTTTGTATTCCCAAGAGGTTATCTTGATAGATTTTCTCAAAAGAGCTAGACAAACATGGGGTTTATTACAAAGAAGTTCAAAGAAAATGAAAATGCCACTGGTGAGGGAAAGGTCCGGGAAGTGGCACCGAGGGAGTCTTCCCCTCATGACAGTGTTGTAAGAGCCATCCGATCAGACTTCTGGGGGCTCTGATCCCCTCCAGTCTACAGACCTGCTCTTGCCCCTCGAGACTACTTTTTGCTCCCAAAACTAAAAGGAAACAAATTAAGGTTTATAATTAGTGCCCTTCATGGATGCCCAAACTGCAGGCTTGAAGTGGTATAAACTCAAGAGCACAGAATTCCTCAGCCAAGTGGAAATGCCACTTGTAGAGAGTACAGACTTAGATGGAGGCCGTGTCCAAAGACAGCAGATTCACATTTTGACATTTTTGTTTATTAATGGTTTTTTATTATTTTGTAGGAATATTTTTGACATACCCTTATACAAGCGCGCGCGCATATGTGTGTGTGTGTGTGTGTGTGTGTGTGTGTGTGTTTACAGCTGGGCTAATGGTCCTGAAGCTTCCTTTTTTTTCTCCCAGTTTATTTATTCTCAATTATCTTTCCATAACATATTTCTATTTAACAGAGAACATCACTAAGGTATATAACTCTTGAACCTCAAATCCTCAATAGTTTAAATAGGTTAAGTTTTTTGTGATTTCCCTGCCTCCACCCACTTATTTACTCCCTACCTCCCGTTGGGAGAAAGAGAGCGCATGAAGGGTGCTGGAGGAGTTCTTCTCCTAGCATTTATTTCAGGGATCCAGGTTAACTGAAGTCTTGCCAACTTTAATATGTGGCTTCCACCCACGTGGCTTCTAAGGTAAAGTGACCAGATTTTAACATTGGTAAAGCGGGACAGCATGGGACACCATTGATAAAACTCATATCCTGGCAAAATAGCCACATGGCAGCCGAAAACCGTATACCCTAGCTTGTGCATCCTTTCTGAAAATTGGGACTTTTTTAAAACGCCGCGGGACACGGGAAAATTTGTTAAAAATCGGGACTGTCCCGCCAAAAGCGTGACGTTATCTGGCACCTTATTCTAAGGTCACCTTGGGCGTCATGTCCAGATGGTGAAAAGGGTGTGAAGAGCGAGAAGTTTGTTTTAAATGAGCCAGGCCTGGAAGTGACATGGTCGGCTCTGCCAACACTCCTGAGGCCAGAACTTAATCAAAGACACCTCCAGCTCCATTCCAAGCCCAGGACTAGGAAGTGGCTGGGGTGGACAGGCAGCTGCTGCCCAACCAACCCGTGGCACTGGGAAAGGAGCACAAGCCTGGGAAGGCAGCTAACGTAGCCGGACACGCATGGGCTGTGGGCCTTCATCCTCATTTAGTTAAGCCTTAGGCTACTTTTCTACTTTTCTTTCATGTTCTGTTCTATGTTTTTTGTCAAAGGCACCTTCTTAAAGTGTCAATAGACATGGCCTTGTAAGGACAAAGAAATACAAAAACAGGCACCTGCAGATCGGTGCGTGTGAAGAAGAGACGTTAATGAAGAGTTCAAGAATGCAAACTTTTGACCCAAGACCCCTTCTAAGGAAATTCCCCAGGACACCACAGCTGTACGTATGAGGATGCTTTCAACCTAGACACCTTTATATAATGAAGGACTGTGCAGGCATATATCAATACTGTCACACAGCTACTTGCTCATTTAAGAATATACTTGTGACAGGCAAAAAACCAAGGTTCCCAAATAGTATAACTCTTAAAAAACAAATTAAACAAATTGACCATTTGTAGGAAAATGTTTACAGTTCTTTATTTCTGGGTTATAGGACTATGGGTGTTTTTAACCCATGACCCCAAAGTTTACACCTTTATGAAATGGCTCAGAAAAAGCAGTGAAGCTATTTTCAGCTTGAAATGAAAAACATGTAGATAAGGGGATTGGACCTTTGGCGCTTGAAGGCAAGTGTGTGTCAGGCCTGGCCTCCAGGTCCCTGCCTGTCTGTTGGGGCTGTCACCTGACACTCAAATTGCTATCAGGAGCACTTTTCTCGGCTGAAATGACTGGCCTGCGTTACACTGGGAGGCTAGAACAGGCCTGTGATCAGGCGGCAGCTCAGCCCCAGTTGGCCTGCTGGGCTCAGCACGCCGCAAGGGCTCACATGGGGAACATGGTCAGGGCCCTCGTGGCCTTCATCCCTGCTGACCGCTGCCAGAACTACGTGGTGGGCGACCTCCAAGAGATGCCCCGGGACAAGATGGTGGATCTGAGCGGGAACCAGATGCGCCGCTTCCCTGGCCACGTTTGCTCCTTCCGGGAGCTGGTCAAGCTCTACCTGAGCGACAACCACCTCACCAACCTGCCTCCAGAGCTGGGGCAGCTGCAGAAGCTGCAGATCCTGGCCTTGGATTTCAATAACTTCAAGACTCTGCCCCAGGTGGTCTGTACCTTACAGCACCTCTGCATCCTCTACCTGGGCAACAACAAACTCTGCGACCTCCCCTGGGAGCTGAGCCAGCTGCAGAACCTCCAGACCCTGTGGCTTGAGGCCAACTGCCTCACCCAGCTGCCAGAGGTGGTCTGTGAGCTGAGGCTCCTCCGGACACTGCACGTGGGCTCCAACGCTCTGTGCGTGCTGCCAGGCCAGCTCCAGCGCCTCCAGGAGCTACGGACCATCTGGCTCTCCAGCAACCTGCTGACCGACTTCCCCCCGGTGCTGCTGCACATGCCCTTCCTGGAGGTGATTGATGTGGACCGGAACAGGATTCGGTACTTCCCCAGCCTGGCTCATTTGTCAAGTCTGAAGCTGGTCATCTATGACCACAACCCCTGCAGAAACGCACCCAAGGTGGCCAAAGGTGTGCGCCGCGTGGGAAGGTGGGCGGAGGAGACCCCAGAGCCTGACCCCAGGAAAGCCAGACGCTACGCACTCACGATGGACGACATCCCGGAGCCACCAGCAGCTGCCCCTGCTCCTTCACCGCCTCCTGCCAACTCCTGAGGGCGATTATAGGTTAATGCCCAAGACCCAAATCCAGCCTCTTCTGGAAGATCTCTCACCGGGAGTGGAAGATTCCTCTCAGCCACAGGGAGCTGAGAGAGGGCCAGGTGAAATGCTACAAATCACTTGGAGAAGGAAAAACTGGTCAACAGCCTGTCTCTCAAAGGAATGTCGTGCTATTGGCACCATGACAATCTGGAATGATCATCACTTCTTTGGAAGCAAGTCTGCTTCTGCAAGCAGCTCTTTTGGAACCCTGGAGACCAGGAAGGGCTGGAGGGATGCTGTGCTCTCCTCCGGTCCTCAGAAATGCGGGTCATGAGGCTGGGGAGCTCCTCAAACAGGTACTTGCTATAGAACTCACCTGTACGCTCAGGTAGATGAGCTCTAGCCCTTTGCAGGATTTATTTTCTTAATTTTCTCCCTAAATGGATTGAAATTATTATTTAATTCAGGCCAGATTAACACTGGCGGGGGGCAGGGTGTCAGGGAGGTTTGTGACTGTAAAAGTTCAAGATGAAGCATTTTCCCCAGCTGTTTCTGGCCCGCTGAGAAGACTCCTGATGGACGATGCCTCGGCTGAGTCCAGCTGCCATTTAAACTTGACAGTGGTGCATTTCCTCTAAACGGGTTGACCCAAGGTCTGCTCCCAGCTGTCTATTGCCACTGACAGGCAGTGTGAGAAGTCATCAGGAGGCAGAGCTTCTCCTTGGCAGTGCTGGCTCCCTAAGCCCAGCCCAGTTGTGGCTGGCTGCTTCCCGAGAGCTGCCCTGCCTATTCCCATGAACAAACTGGAGCGGAACTGAATCACATTTCCGAGCTCTGACTAGGGTAAATGTACTAGGTTAAGACATCTGCTCACTGGAAACAAGCATTTGGAAAGTTGAATTGCAGGCGATAGTGTAAATAAATAAAGATTTGCCTCTACAGCTTCAGTGCCTCTGCCTGTGTTCCTTTGTTTTCACTTTTATTACCAAGGGTCTTTGGCAGTCAGTGTATAAACCTGAGGATTTTGGCTACTATTCTTGGATATGAGGGCTCTGCTAACCACAATGTCCGTGGTTCAAACTCACCAGCTGCTCCTCAGGAAAAAGGTGAGGTTTTCTGCTCCCATAAAGATGTACAGCCTCAGAAACTCACAAAGAAGGTTCTACTTTATCCTATGAACTTGACAGCAACAGGCTTTTTAACTTAGGGAGGCTGTTAATTTCTTTCGACTGTTTTCAAGATGAATGTGCCTACCTCTCCCAATGTAGCTGCAAGCGATAGCCATACGAGGGAAGGCAAATGAACTAACTAGTGAATCACGTCATAGAAACATTTGGCTCATAGTCAAGTAAGCTGTTTTCTGTTGTTACCACCTCTTTATCCCTCCAGAAATAATCAATGTACAAAAACTAAAAACCAAACTCAATACCATCCAGTTGATACTCATAGCCACCCTACAGGATAACGCAGAACTGGCCCTGTGGGTTTCTAAGACTGCAAATCTTCATAGGAGTAGATCACTTCATCTTCCAAATATAACTAATGTGCAATTTTCAAATAGTAGTCGTGTTCACTCCCGATTTCTTGAAATAGTGTCTCTATAAACTGTCATCTCGTAGGAAAAGTATCAGTGAAATGTATTTCTACATTATGTATTTTGACAATAATGCCTCAGATGCTTTCTGGAAATTGACATCAGAACGAACAATAAAGAGAAGAGGGAAGCCACCAAAGGTCATCGTTTTACTCATGATTTTGAGTCCTAAATCCATTGCTAATTCACCGAAGGAAAATCTCTTCTAGAAGTTTATATAAGATTTTAGCTTCCATAAGTTTTATTTTTTTGCTAAAATATAACACTACAGTAGAACCCCAGGACTCGACCATGTCAATACTCGACATAATCAGATTTCGACTCAAAATGTCGAGAAAATGTTGCACCAGGGCTGGAACAAGACATTGGAATCTGACTCGACGCACGTGATGTTCATGAATAAAAGCAGTTTGTGTTTGCCACTTGGTGGTAGTTAGCGTTGTTAGTACACGTTGTTTAAAAACTTTGCAGCTGTGTTCAAGTGTTTTGCTATAATTTTCTTAGCTGTTGTGGCTTTTTGCACTGTTTTTAGATAAAGAACGTGGGGCGTAAGGGTTTTTGAAAAGAATCATGAGGAACTGGCTAACTGTGCTATCAATATTGAGAATTTAGTGAACCCTTTCAGAAAATAGTTAAGGAAACGCCAATCGGTCTCGGCCTTTTGGCTAAGATCAAGCGTGGGAACGCCAATAGACCACAGTTGACAGAAAAAATATTTTTTTGAGAAAGCCAGGCAGGTCCTAATGAAAAAAGGCAAAGAAGGGGAAAAACTCCTGAAAAGCGGCTACCAGTTGATTTGATGGAAGGGGATTCCCCTTCCACACACTGCCTCTCTCTCCACATCCGTGTCCACAGATCCAGATCCTCACCAGTCTCAAGGCATGGGCCATACTGTAGTTGCTAAAAACCGTTTTAACATTGTTTCTTGTTTAAATTATATTATTTAACTCTGAACTTGTTCACTTTGAAATTTATGTGTAATGTTTTGTATAAAAAGGCATGGTTAGAGTCAAAACCTGGTGGTCCAGAACAGATTAATCAATTTTCAGTTATTTCTTACGGGGAAAAATGGATTCGGAACTCAATTGCATCGCAGCTCAACACTCCTTTTAGAACGGATTAGCGTCAAGGACAAGGGTTCTACTGTACTCCAGTTCATCATTTCATGCTTCAAAAGTGGGCTGAAGACTAAAAATCAACTAGGGTCAGCAAACTTTACCTAAAAGGACATCACAGTAGCCCAGAGCACAGTGGCTACTTCATAGGGTTCAAGTCCCAGGCTCACCAGTGAGGAGACCCTGAGTGACGCCAACAGTTTAGTGCTCCACTAGCTGAAGACCTGTCCATTTGAACCCACCCGTACACACCTTGAGAGCCTTGGTGGTATGGTAGTTATGCATTGGGCTGTAATCTGCAAGGTCAACAGTTCAAAACCACCAATAGCTCCATGGGAGAAAGACGTTATTTACTCCTGAAAAGAATGAGTCTCCAACTCCCAAGGGACAGTTCTACCCTGTCCTACAGGGTCACTAAGGGTCATCATCATCTCAATGGCCGCGAGTTCCGTTTCGGTTTGTGTAAGCCCCTCAGAAGGTTGTCTAATGATCTGCTTCTGACAGGGCACAGCCTTGAAACCCTATGGAGTTCTATTGTGCACCCATGGGTCGTCAGGAGTTGGAATCAACATCACAGCAAACGGCACGTCAGTTACCATCTGTGTGCCTCAGTTTTGTCATCGGTACAGTGAGGCTAAGTTCTTGCAAGGATTAAATGAGCTACTGTGCATGTGTGAAGAACAGTGTTTGGCCGGTAACAGTTAATTTTCATATAACACGCTGTTTTACACCATAGTATATATTTATATTTACCCTTGCTTGACTAATTAAAAAACAAACTACCCCTTAGATGGCAAAACATGGACATTTTCCTTTGTAAATTACTTTTAAAAAAATATTACCTATGCACACGAGTATAATTGCAACATGATCATATACATCTGGCTTGCCTAAATAGGGAAAAAATAGGCATTTTAATTTTCAATTACCATTTAGAATTGCTAAATGAATATACCATGTTTCATCCCTGGAATTCCAGAACTTGCAAAACCACAAATAAAAGCTTGCCAAGTTGTGTCAATGGTACTTATCCCATACAGCTCATGAAAAGCAAGATGAAGACGTGGCTGTATTTTGTCTTTTGTCATTGTCAAATATGCACTTTTACAATGATGGCCACAGAGAATATTAATGCTGCTTAAAACAAAAATACAATTTACTCCTTACTTTTTTCCAGGCACTTCTAAAAAGCAGCTAACAAATGGCATTCGTCTTGGCATCCCAAGCCTACTCCGGCCCCAGCAGGTTTCTTCAGTGCTGGCTGTTACACAGCCACACAGCCAGGCCACAGGGCAGAAGGGTAACACCTGAGGAGGAGCACTCTGGCTGGTCGAGCACCATCTTCATGGTCTTGTCAACTTATGGAAACTTTTCTGCACCTCTTTAAAGTAGGTCCTATGTGCCACTCAAAATTATGAATCATGTTTATTTCTCATATTGGGGATCTGGACACTTCTACAGTAATTCTGATTTAGAATTATAAGCTGTCTTTTTTACTTTGATCAATTTCACAACATGCCAACTAATAGGGCATCAGGCATGTGGCCAGAAACTGCACTCACTCCACAGTTACATGAAGCGCTATCAAAAGGACTGTTCAGAGTAGATGGGGGGAAACAATGTAACACTTTGTTACAAATGTCCTCTTCCAGGGCATTTATGAAAAGTGCACTTACAAGCGATTTGCTGCTGTGACCAGTATCAGATGTTCCATGTTATGGTTTACTGTCCCAACTGCTTTTAACAGGCTGTGATCTGGTCCACAATGTTGGCGTCACCTTGGGAGTCCTAACAGAAAGTTGGGCAATGTTCAATTCTGACAACATATAATTAAACTGTACAGAGCTGACAGCCATGGGACTCTAACGTCATTGTCACAACACTGACACTGACTTTGTTGTAGCAAAGAGGTATTAACTCAGCATTTTGTACCATAAACATCAATTGCTCATTTTTGGAATAGTTGCACTGCTTATATTCCCAAATGTCTAGCAAAGTCATGCTACTGAAAGTTCTAATCCAAAACCAGCGAGTTTTTTTTGGAGAAAGGGTCTTATTAAGATATAAAGACCACAAAGTCCTCTATTGAGTCCATGAAATAGAATTCGAGGGACAGTATCATCCCACCGTTTTATTGTGGGTTAAGATTAAGATTTGTTGAGTGGGTTGGCAAACAATTTAACAAGCAGATATAAGACCAACCCACAAGACGGGAGAAGCTGTTGCTTTAAGATCAAATCCAGGGTCCCGCGCCCCAGGGTCCCTGACCTGCAAGGAGACAGTCCTCACCCGGCCAGCGAACATGGCGCTGCAAAGGGCGCGGAGTGCGCGGGCTGCGGCCTGCATCTTGCGTGCGCTGTCGGCGGCCGCACGCCCTGCCTGGCGCGATGTTGGGGTCCCGGGTCGGCAGCCGTGCGGACGCTGCGCTCAGGCCGGGCTCTGCTCTCGGTGCGTAAGTTCACAAACACGAATGGGTAACGACAGAAAATAGTGTTGGAACAGTGGGGATCAGCAATTTTGCACAGGAAGCTTTGGGAGATGTTGTTTACTGTAGTCTTCCTGAAGTTGGGACAAAGCTGAACAAACAGGATGAGTTTGGTGCTTTGGAAAGTGTGAAAGTTGCTAGTGAACTCTACTCTCCTTTATCAGAAGTCACAGAAATTAATGACGCGCTTACAGAGAATCCCGGGCTTGTGAACAAATCCTGTTATGAAGATGGTTGGCTCATCAAGATGACAGTGCCTAATCCTTCAGAACTTGATGAACTAATGAGTGAGGAGGCCTATGAGCAATACATAAAATCCATCGAGGAGTGAAAATGGGACCCTTGAATAAACTACAATGAAACAACTTATGCCAGCATAGTTGTCTTAAATTAGTGGTGGAAAGAATTGAAGTAGCTTTTAGCAGCAGTACCACTGTGAAACAGAGAAACCAGTTGGGGCAATTATACTATTGGAAGAAAGTACCCCTTAACTTCCTAATGATTGCCGAGAAACACTGCACACTTTTTCTCACAGTAGCCTGTGATTTTTATGTTAGGATCTAGTGATAATATTCAGAAGTCATGAAATGATCTGTGGTGAGAATAGTCACAAAACGATATAACTCAAAAGGTATGTTGTTATCTTACGCCTCCTATAACATAGCTACTGCTGATATCCAGACCTGGGTTTGGGCCTGGATACTTAATTCTCTTCCTGCTGGAAATGACCAGGAGTGGAGATAAGTTTTTATTAATTGTACTGTAGCAGCTAAAGAACAACACAATTTTAAGTTTGCAGTACACTTGTCTTTGCTGGTGCTATTTTTATACAATGAAGCAACAGCCTTGCAGCAACGTAAGAAACCATTTAATAAAAACTTCAGCTTCTTCATTGAAAAAAAAAAAATATCAAATCCAGAAGAGGATTCCTTTGAATTTATTGATTCAAAGGGCATATAACCTTCAAGAGAACCTGAAGGAACAGACCACTCCAAGTATTTTAAGACCAACAGGGGCGGTTTCATCACTTCAAATTCACGTAACTACAGAAGCAGTAAGCACAGGTATTGAGGTGCTGAAAAATTCAAGGATAAACTAGACAAGATGGAAAAGATGAACTATTGAAAATTTTTAGATGAAAATTGGAGTGTTTTCTACACTAAATCAAGGGTTTCTATTGCTTGACCAAGGTTTCAAATGCTGGCCACTTTGCTAAAGTTCAGACTTCAAATTACCATGAAATACAAGCACAAAAAAAGCACAGAAGACCCCCAGACTTTGTTTTCTGACTCCAGGCACTGTGCTCATTCCCCTGGATAACCCCGATGATCCACGTGCCTTCTTAAAACTAGAAAGATACAAGTGTCCAACTCGTCAAAAGCATTGAAAATAGATCCCTATGGTTATAACCCTGGACAATAATTTATACTGATAATGAAATGCAGTAATATTTTAAATAAAGATTTCACATTGAAATGGGAAATAAAGGTCAGATTCACTTCATCTTCATGTTTGGCAACTTTTCCTAATTGTGGTAGCTCCCTAAAGAGATGCAAAATGCATTTGTAACATTTTTTATTGACTGTAAAATCTTTATAGAAATACTTCTCATTGACAGATCAAGCTATTGTTTAAAAATGTATTGAAATACTTTGAACTACATTTAACAGGAAAACTTTGGTGAGGACACCACCACTTTTCTCATTTTCTAAGCTACTTTGGAGAACTCTTACACCCACCCAACTGCTGTCGGCTCTACACTACCACTTAAAGGTGCTCTGCCTGGGTGTCACACGCTGCCATGCCAGTGCTTCCCAAATCTGTGCCACAAGCTGCAAACACACTCGGTACGTACCAAAATGAGACTAGTCCTTGTAACTCCAGGAGCTTGTCCTACAAGTTGGCCCTGGGATCCACCCTCTAGAATGAAGTCGTACCAAATGAAACCCTTTTTGATTGTAAACTGATAAGGATTTTGTTGCGTCACGTTTGTCAAGTATTTTTCTTCCAGAAATCTTTCATCATTCACTTTTACCAAAAAGAGGAAACCACTCAACATGCCAAAAATCTTAGGTAAGGACCAAGAAAAAGTTTAGAAATGACTCAGTTATTGCCAACTCACCTTTCCATGTCGTTTAGTTTTTAAGAAAAGGAGTCAAGGCCACTGAATATACCCTGAAAACTACTGCATCTTGGTACAATCAGAGGGGCTATTTTGACTTAAATGTTACGTACATGGTAGCTTAAAAAGCAAAATAAAAATATACATGTACATGACTAGAAAATTTTATCTTGGTATTTCTATAACTTTGGTGTAATCCGTCAACTTGGCTTGCAGACACTGCTTTTAACAAACTGAAGGTTTATGGCAACTCCACCATCAATTATGTTTATTGGTACTTTCCCAACAATGTGTGCTTAGTCACATTTTGGCAATTCTTACATTTCAAACTTCTCATGGCCACTGCACACACACGGACTAGTTCAGCATAAACAGAGCTGAGGTATGCCTATATTCAGATTACTTTAGATATAACTTAGGACAGGAGTTGTGGGAACAGAACCCAGTCACAAATGAGAACTAGAGGCTCTAGCAATAACAGCTGTTACCATTTGAAAACAAAATAGAGACAAGTACCTTACAGTTCCACACCCTACCAAGATGACTCTGAGGATCCAGTTAAAAGACAGTTCCTAGTGTATCTGGGATGGAAAACCGGCAAATTCTCAGGAGGGCCAATAGGAGGAGGTGTTACTAAAACCCAGTAAGCTGAAAGCCAAGCAAAAGCAGTGGCCTAGGATAAGTTGTAGTGGTCAGTCTTGAAGATACACAGCCAATGCCAAAGACAAAGAGCTAGTAGGAAACAGATTTTTCCTTCCCTAAATCTTGTGCCTCTTGAGTTAAGCCCAGGTGTCACAGCAGGCAAATAATGATTTTGGGTATGGGAGGGGAAGAAAATAATTGGGATACTAGGCATAATATCACCACTAAGCACTTGAGACCTATACAACCATAACCCTTAATGTACACTTCCAACCGTTTTTATGTCCCAAAATTATTGAAAAAAGTATGAAACCACTGCTTCCATATTTGGTATATGAGTCAAAAGAAATTCCATCCTGAAAACATTACAAGAGAGAGTTCAAGAGTCTTCAACGGCAATACTTTGTCTCATGTACTTCGGACCTGGTTCTCAGGAGGGACCATTGTGTTTGATAAAGAGGGTCAGCAAAAACAGAACATCTGGAACAAGATGTTGCACAGTGGCTCCAGCAACGGATTCAAACATTTCAACCATTTCTATGAATCCGAGCCAACTCAATGGCGCCTAACACGGGATTTTTCTAGGCCTACAGCAACAAGATCTGTAATGAACTCAAAAGAGTAAGGAGGCATAGGAATATTCCTGGGCAAAACAATTTTGAAGGTTACTATTTCTTTTTAGCAAATTTTAACAATGACTGGTTTATCCATACGGCCTTTGGAGAAAAGGGGCTGAGGTACACTTTTAGATCCAGCATCCAGTCATCAGGCTCTCCAGGAGAGAGAGATGTTTACTGCCCCTCTCACTGAAACTTGCGCAGGGTTTTTCTGTCTGGAGGCTCACTGGTCCTCCTTTCCTGCGGGTCACAATAAACGTACAGTATATACGAGTATAAGCCGACCCAACTATCAGCCAAGGCACCTAATTTTACCACAAAGCCTGCATTAAAAATGTGCTGGGAAACGGCATATACTCAAGTATATACAGTATGTGACAAAGTACTTAAAAAAAAGAATCATAGGACAGCATTATAACTGTTGGTTAAAGTAAAAATACTATAATTCTCTGACAAAAAACAGTATTAGACAAACATTTTTAGACTAACAGAAAACAAGGTGCTTTATCAATACTTTCCCCAAAATTATTTTGCTCCTTTATGGAAATAAAATACCCTTCCATTACGCTCAGAATAACCAATAACAACACATAACTGCTTGGAGCTTTGTTTAATTTATGGTGTAGTCTACTACATAACTCAGGTATTAATAACTTCTAAATCAACAGATTCTTATAAACCAAGTATACTCAAGTCCACTCGCATTATCTATGGAATTTATTTACGAAAACGAAGAACCAAAAATAACACTTGCATTGTAAGTGCTTGAAGCACCTTTTAACAGTATTTCAAACAGGACTTTTTCAAATTTGAATAGAAACCACTATACTGCTTTCTAATGTAAGAAACAATCCTTAGATTACACAAAATTAAATAGTTTATGATATTCTCATTACATAAAATTAAGTGGGTAATAAAAGTTACATGTGATTGAGTATTCTTAAAGCCCAGCAATGAAACCTAAAGGTAACTGATGTTATGACATTTGGTTTAGACTTATATTGAGTATCATTCCATAAATGTTTAGGGTCTATAATTACTTAAACCAGAGCTCTATCAAAAATATTCACTAATTCTTAGTAGAGTTAAAATAATACAAAATCAGTAAGAGATAAACACTATGTTCAAATTTTTATTTTAATGCACAGTTTAAGAAATGAACTTTTAAGTCAGCTAGATTTTATGGAAAATAAATGTCAAATAAATTAGACCCATGTTAAAATAGAAGGTCAGCTAAATGTCCAAACTTAAAAGATGTAACGATTGATTCCACGGGATGAGCTCTCAACACAACTTTGCTATGAACTGGTCCAGATCTCAACAGCACGTGGGAATGCTTATTAACAGGGGTGGTGATCAGGGACACGTTTCCTGTAAGAATTGCAAAGTATACACTTAGAGAAAAAAGTCAATGAAAAAAGAAAAGCATTACTTTACCCAGTTTTGTTACAGCCATAACTAGAAGTCTAATATTAAAACCACTGTAACCATTTCTTTATAACAAGGACATTTCTATCTCATGAATAATTATGCTTTAATGCTGATTTTTATTAGTATTGTCATATTACAGAATCACTGGAATATGAAAGTGTCATGTAGTATTTAGTAACTCAAACAACCTCCTGAACAAAAATGTATTCTCGAGGAAGTTAACTGTTTCGATTGATCTGTGTTGGGGAAATTTTATACATTAGTCAAGGACAGTTATTCTTAAAAAGAATGTAAGCGACATGGTTTGAATCATACCTAGATGAAAATCTCTAGATTACGATTCATAGACAAACCCAGTGACAAAAATTAAAAAGACCTCAAAGATCATAGCATACTATATTCCAATGAAGACAGAGATAATCTTCCAACTCAGTAGAGTACAGGAGGGTGGGCCTGGGGTGGGGGTAGGGGTAGAGGCCACAGGCTAGCTAACCACTGTCAGTAAAGAAAAAGTTTACAGCAGCAGTTGCAGGACACTAATCTGGAAAATTTGTCCAGTGGAAGTTAGTAAAGATGAAAAAGAGGTCGAAAGTCTACAGGGCAAGTTGGGTTTAACAAAATTATTCTAATTTCTTTACTGTAAACTAGAATTCCCCATGTTTAATAGACACTTAAATCTCTAAGACAGTGATATCAAACCAAACAAGGGATTACCATTTTTAAAGTATATTCCAAATATGATTGAGTGTTGAGTTCAAACCAGAAAATTTAGTTCTAAGAACTCAGCATTCTTTGGGCGCATTCTGCTTTAAGACAATGAAGAATCATGGCATTTTTCCACCTTTAATTACACTGTTTCAGAGAAAATGGTCAACTTCTTACACCAAACTTTCACTTCCAAATATGCAATACTCCCTATTGTCCTACCCTCCCCTTCAATGGCAGCAATTTAGAATCACTACCCTTTATTTTTAGCCTGGCCCACTTTCTACTGAGGAACCCTGATAGCACAGTGGTTATGCGATGGCAGCTGCGATCAACAAGGTCAGCTGTTCAAAACTACCAGCTGATCCAAGAGAGACAGAAAAGTTTTCTGGGGAACTCCCAGGGGCAGTTCTAGCCTGCCCTATAGGGTCACCATGAGTCTGCATCAACTCAATGGCAGAGGTTGGTTGGTTGGCTGGTTGGTTGGTTCTTTCCACTACACACTCAAAACACAACTTTCTTTCTCCTGCAGAGCAACTGGTGTTTTCGAATTTCGAACCCTTGCTTATCACAGCCCAACACATAACTACTACACTACCAGGACTCCTCTCTACTGCCCACAGATTTAATATCAGATCTCTCACCACGATTCTCTACACTGCCCTTCCTCCAATAGTTAGTCACCAGAGAGCTGTCATTCATAGAAGTCAATGAACTGAGTGTGGCAAGTTCTCCACCAAGATTTAAAATTTAGTTCATTTAAAGGTATAAAGAATTCCTAATAATGCTCCCACTTTCCTCCTGTTGTTATGAATTCTCTGCATTCCTGATCTAAAATCTACTCTCCCTCCAGGTGTTCCCTAGATATCACATGTCCTATTTAGGACAGTTTCCTCTTCTACTTCAATATTCCCTATTATGTCATGCTATTTAAACAGACCAGGTTCTCAGTGAGAACCCACCACCTTAAGCTACTAACCACACTGTTCCCATTCACAGCCAACTCCTTGAAATAACTCTACAAATATTTTCCAATTTCTCTTCTGGGTCTCACTGAACCTACTGCCATCAGACTTCTGCTCCCTGCACATCAAGTTTTGTCAATACTACATATTTGTCATGATTACTAATACTACTGCTGCAAAGTACAATGATCAGATAGATTTTCTGTCCTTATTTTACTTAACCTACTCATCTTATCTGATACAGTCACTCCTCCTTTTAAGTATCATTTCCATTTGGCTTCTAAGACACAATTAACTTTCTTTATACTTCTGTGGCATTCCTTTTAAAAAGTACTATGGAACATTTCAACTGTACATAAAATTGGATAAATTTCAGTGATTTCTCAAGCTGTAATCAGGTTTAATAACTACACATATTTATACAGGCCTTCGTGTCTTTTACAGGTATAGTGCAATGAATTACTTTACATGGCTCTTCCAATTTGTGGCTCCCACATGACTGGGTAGCATTAGGCAAAAAAAAGTGGTTTGGGGCCAACCAGAGGATTAGCTATAACGCAGTAAGGAAGCCTAATTAAAGAGATCAATCAGTTTTGCCATTCTGCTAGGCTTAAAATAAGCCAATCCCACAATAAAGGTGCATACTAGCCCCAAGAAAGAAGAGCTAAGCGTGGAGTACAACCTTTGAACCTGGGGCCCTATACCCAGGAGATACAGGAAGCTGTAACAATGGAAAAGGTATAAACAGCAAGAAAGTGGCAAATATGGTACAGAAAGGGCAGCAGAAGTAGGAATCGGGTACCATGGATTTTGCAGCCAGAGGCAGCTCCAGGCAGGGTATGCTGACTACCAAAGAGCAAAGATCGAGCACTTTGGGCAGGAAGGAGTACCTACTGACACCTATGGGTAGAGTTGAAAGCTTTGTGACACTTGCCCAAGCTGGGAAGTCGTCAGGCCCAAAGGGGCCAAGGAGTTTGCCCTGCACTGAAGAAGTGAAACTTTGCCTACATGATTCCTAATCCCTAACTGTGATGTCATTTCCTTAATAAGCCCCTTAATTGTTGAATATGGTCATTGTAATGAATTCTCAAACCCAGCACAGAACTGGAGTGTTGTATCAGGGGACTGTTGTCAATTGATGAAAAGGCTGGAGGACAGTTATGTTGACCTTCACTTTGGAAGTGTGGGCTGGTGCTGATTCTCCCCTCTCGTGAAGTTAGAAGGGTCAGATGCCCCCCTCCCATTTTTATAGTTTATTGCTTTCAATCTTTCAAAAAATTATTGGAGATCTCCAGTGCTCAACCTTAAAACCAATCCCCCTCTTTAGTGATATTCATTATGAAGATCTCATACCATAAATAGGCTGCCAACTCCTAATCTCTAAGTACAGATTTAACTTCTCTCCAAAGTGTAGATTCAACTCTAGTACCACATAGTCAACAGCGTTCTCAAATGCCCTATCCCTCTTTTCTTCTAAGAGCCTTTCCATCTCAGATAAATGTATCCAAACTCATCTCTATCACTACCAGCCTGGTTCAAGCCACCAGTCTCTCTCCTTGGCTCCCCCTTAAGCACCCACCACTAGCAGGTAAAGGGCTTTGATAATTACTAATAAGAGTAATGAAAATGATTGAATCTTTTAAAGATATTCTGACCATTTATCCATTTTGGGGTGAACAAAGTGTTTTTTAAAAACTGTGCCATTTTGGCAAAGCTGCTCAAACAGGAACTTGTGCGGAAACCTATACTTCATATGCATAAAAATATTGGTATGAAAAATTTACCAGGGTAGTAAAGATGATGATTCCCTGTTCCCCATCCCAAGTCTGGTCCTGTGTGTCCTTTCAATAGTAAGATCTATTTCCATCACCACCCATCTTCCTCTCCTACCAAACTCATCTGATACAAATCTAAGAGTTGGAATTATGAATTTTAAAAATTACATAATTTAAATAACATATTAAAATTTTTATCTAGGCCAGAATGACTCTATCAACAATAATCAAATTTACAAAACTACTTATATTTTGTTTCTTTCTTACTTTAAAAAAAAAAAAAGCTTCACAAAGGCTAGAGTACCTTGGTGCTGCTTTGATAATGTTATCCACGCGTAAAATCACCTCGGCCGCTTCTGCTGCACTCAAAAGAACTTGTCGCTTCACTTGGAAGCTTTCTGTTATACCTAGTACTGCCATATCTCCAATGGTACCCTCCTTCATATCTGGAAATATAAAAGGCTTATTTTTAAAATAATTTCACTTTTTAAAACAAAATTATCAAAAGCTCTTATGGCTTATAAGATTGTTAACCAAAATAAAATTTCAACATCTAACTATTCACTTTAGTTGGAGCAATCCCACCAGCCTATAAAAGCAATCAGAAAGTGCCTTTTAAAAAAATATGAAAAGCTAACTACCACCAATATTAATAGCAGTCAAGTGTCAACAATTCTGAAAACTTACACAGTACATTTGTGATCATTTATATGTTTCTCCTCACTTCCCAACTAGCTTATTTTCTAATATTTTGCATTTATATGACCATTGTAAATCTCCAACTATCTGACTACTGTGTTTCATCCAGTGTCCACCCCTGGTCTGTGGAGCTACTTATGTGTCAGGCTCATCCTCATGGCTGAGGCAGCCTGTCTTCCAGAAGGCCCTAGCCAGTCCCATCCCCACCAGCAGAGCCATCAGTACAGCTAGCTCTTGGTGTACAAGAGATGGCTACCCTTCAAGAGTGATGGAGGGGCTCAGGAAAAAATAGGGGAGAGGGTGCTGCTGCTCCCACTCCCCTCTACTTAGGTATCCTGGAGGGCCCAAATACTGCAAAAGAAAGGTTTGGGGGGTAATTTGGGCCCTAGGGTTTACAATCATTCCTCTTCGCTCTTCCAGGCCTGCAGAGTGCCTCTTTCTGAGCAACTGTTAAAACCTAAATTAATGAAGATGAAGCAATATGGGTAGATACCTCAAGAATGGTGACAAAATGTGAGGTCTGTAAACAATGTCACTGAACTGTGTATGTAGAAATTAGAAGTGAATGCACATTACCATCAAAATTAAATTATTTTAAAATTATCAAAGAATAAATTGGCGAGATTAGGAGTTAATACTGACTGATGTTAAACATCAGCATATAGTTCAAAATTACAAGTACTATTTATATATTTAAAGCCTACAATCAATCATTACATATCAAACTATTAAGAAATCTTCCAACTCGCTTCACACTCTGTGAAGTAACTTTTGACGCCACTAACAGCAAAATTAAGTCAAACATTTTCTCTAGAACACACAAAGTTGGAGCAGGGGGTCTGTAGTTACAAGAACTTACCCAGTCCAGCCGTTCCCTGGCCTTCACTGTGGGCAGCTCGGAGCTGTGACACCAGATCTGCACTATCATAGCCTGCATTATCAGCTATGATGGTTGGCAACTATGAAGACAACAAATATTAAGCACCTATTTCACTGTAAGACAGGTGATTTACTCCTTAACTGGAAGGACAATTTTTTTCTATTACATTTGGAAACTGCAAAATCTGTTTCATTATAACTATTACTTTTAAGAAGTTCATTATCTTAAAGCCAAAAGATTTTGTATCAAGATTTAAAAAAATATATGTACTTTTAAAAAGCCATCAGGTACCCACAAAATCAAATCTGGATCTCTTGTTATCAGCTTACCATTCTCAGGGCTTTAGCATAAGACTCCATTGCAACAGCTTCTTTGCCAGGTGTTCTATTGGCAAGTTGTGTAACAGCATTAGCCATTAGCATCTCAGAACAACCTGCAAATTAAAATTTCAATAATAATGCCGATTTATCTCCAAACACTGATTTCCTTCAGAATCTGACAAGCAATTTAAAAGACAATGTAAAGAACATTCTCTCATGGAGCTGCTGGTGGTTCTCCATGGAAACTTTAAAATGCTCTGGTGGCACTATGAGTTAGCAAGTGGGTTGCTAATCACAACAATCATTTATGATTTAACACTGTACTTGTTTTCCAAGTGCTCACCTCCTCCATACACTGTTCTAGTATCCTTCACAGTTTGGGCAAGAACACAAAGAGCATCATGCAGAGATCTTTCTGCTTCATCCAATATTTGTTGAGTGGCACCACGTAGAACAATAGTGCACGCCTCACCTAAAGTAAAATAATAATAATAAAATTCCTATGACACAGTGAACACATTCATAAAACACTTTGTCTTACAATACTAGGAAGGTGTTGGTTTTGGAAATTGCCATGTGTTCCATTGTCACACACTGTCTTCACCTAATAGTCCATGTTCATAATAAACCCAATCTATGAGGGGGAAAACTGCTGAGCACAAATTTTTCACAACAGCAAGTTAAATATGACTTAGGTAGACTTCAGGAAAGACTGAAACAAACATATTTCAAGAGTTAAGACTTAGTAGTAACTTGAGTAACTTCTCTGCCTGCTTATTTCACACCAACAGAACCCAATAAAGGCTTAAGTACCTCAACCAAAGATCTAATATAACTGCTCACCAAGGGCTACTCCAGAAAAATGAATGAGTTTGTCTTCTCCAATCATGACTTCTTCAATAAGTTTACAACTTCCAAGCTTCACTAATTCTGGGTGGTCAAAGGTAGAAGCAATTTCACCACCTATGGAGGACATGAAAATAATTACATGCTGACACACTTAACATTTGTTTTCTAAAGCAACAGATAGATATCTTGTAAAACTGATTGCTTATTATACTCCAAACGCACTTTTAAGCACTTCAGATGGGTTAATTAACCCATAACATAACCCATGACATCATTAACCCATAACATCCCTAAAGTAATTTCTACTACTATCCCATTTTACAAACAGCCAAATTTAAGGACCAAGAGAGATTTAATTCCATATCCAAAGTTACCTAACTAGTACAAATATGGTGAAACAGTAATTCAAACAGAAGTATTCTGGCTATAGACCTATATGCAACACTGGGATACCACCTCTCAAAGGTGAGTGAGCCATTAACATTTTCCTGATGAATTTCAATTCAGACTCTCTTCTGAACCCAGGGTAAGATATGCAAATACCTGACTAATCTACAACTATATAGACAATTAGGAATCACTTTAAAGAGCACAAGATAGCTCTATTACAGCAACCATTTGTGAAAGCCTAGGCCCAGAGGAGGAAAAGTAAACTAGAACTTTCCTACAGCAAACATAATTAGGTGTCTAAAATCTTTTTATCTAATTAGACTGTCTTTTAATGATGTAGATTCCATGTATTACTAGTCAATCTTCCCTTTCCTACTTTTTACAAATAAATCTGCTGAGTAATTGACACTATTATCTTGCAAATTTCTTAGTATAAGGACTACTGGTATTCTAAACTCTATGTATTCCTAATGGAAACAGCTGAAGTTCTTTACATTTTGGCAAATTCCTGATATTGCTTTGTGCTCTAATTGCAAGATACCAGTTGTATGGGACATCATACATATTTTTTTTAAAAAAAGAATATTGAACTTATTGGTATTTTCATTAATTCTTGTATGCCTACTTGTAAGTTATCTTTCGACATTTCCAAGAGCTAATTTCACATATTTTGCCAAGTGCACTCCATGGATAGGAGTCAACTTTGCAGTTATACAATTAGTGTACGAAATATTTTTCAATGGCATCAATTTATTCTATGAGCCTGTCTTCACATATGTTCAATTTTTTTGCATTAAAGGGTGAACCTGTACCAGTATGAGCAAATGTTGTGTTATCATAAACTTCAAGTACATAATGGCTTTTAGTGAACTTTAATTAAGACAGGACAATTGTCACTCTATAGTAATTAAAAGTACCCTTAGATCAGAGGAAGACCAGGTTTCTCTTTCAAATTATTGAAAGTAACTTAGAAAAGTATTGAGATAATACTTAATTCTACTCTCCAAATATTAGTATGATTTAATTCTATTACAAAAGTTCCAAACCAATCTTCCAGCCTACTCATTTTTAAAGATTGGAAGATAAAGGCTAAAAATTTTAGTTTCTCAAGGGTTTAGCAGTTACTTCAAAACCATTACAGCATCAAACTGCAAACAAGTTGTACGCTTGTTTCACGGTGTTATCTAATGTATGAACACATTTCTATTCAACACAACCGGATTACATTGCCCTTACCACTATTGATTGATGTTGGAATGCACTAATTTTTCATCAGACATATTTAGATAGTTTCGCTTATTTTAGAATTTACAGAAATTTAAAAAATTCTACAAAAGCAACACTTAAGTACTTGAACCACTCTGGCACATGGTCGTATTTAGTAAAGGTTACTGTAAGTACTGCACTCAGATCCCAGGCACAAAAACATTTATGAGGAGATCCAGTATCTTTTAAAGCCTTAAAACAAAAAATAGACCTGTGGAAAACGTGGTATGTAATTTGGGATATTAGAATGTAAACTGAACTAAGATTTCCATCCAAAAAAGACTATTTAGGTCCATTCCAAACTCCTTAAGGGGTTTTTCTTTGTGTTCTCAATGAGTTGCATTTTGTTGTTAGGGTTCATGAGCCAGCTGATTCAACAGAATAAAACAACTGTCTTGGTCCTACATCATCTTCACAATTGTTGTTTGAACCCATTATCACGGCCATTGTGATTACGTCCTTTCGTTGAGTGCCTTCGGTTTTTTTGTTGACCCTCTACTTTGTCAAGCATGATGACCTTCTCCAAGGATTGGTCCATCAGTAACAGATCAAATACATCCAAAATCTGTGAAATGAAGTCTAGCTATCCGTGTTTCTAAGGAGCATTCTGACTATACCTCTCTCAAAACATACCTGTAATTCTTCTGACAGTCCATGATCTATCCAACTCACAGTAGTGTAATTCAAATACACCAGTTCTCTGTCCTTTACTTGCATGAGGCAGCTGTCTTCAATAAGGCACACTAGTTCTCAAAACGACACCTTTGCTGTCCAATACTTTGATCAGGTCTTTGGTAGAGTCCTTCCCAACGCAAAAGATTCCTTTCCTGATGTTCTCTCATGTGCACTGTGAGCCAAGTGAAATAAAATCTTTGACCACTTCAATTTCTTGTGCTTATCAGACAAGTTGTGAGGCTTTTTTCTTTACAAGGAAGTGTAATTAGCACTGAAGGTATTTGATATTCATCTGTAAGTGCATCAAGTTCTCTTTGCTTTCTGCAGGCAAGGTCACCTGTATTTGCAGGTTGTTAATGATTCTTTCTCAAATTCTGAAAGTGCGCTCTTCACATAAACCGTTTCCAGGATCATTTGTTCAGCATACACATTGAGTAAGCAAGTTAATATCTTGCATTCCTGATTTTAAACCACTCTGCATACCTTGTTCTATGTTTGTTCTAATGATCAACACACAGGTTCAACAGAAGCACAATTTAAGCACTGTGGAATTCTCAGGCTTCATAATGTTATCCATAGTTTATAAGGATCCATAGTTGAATGTCTTCATATAGTCCATAAAAACACAAAAAAATCTTTATCTCTCACTATCAGCCAAGATTCATCTATCAGCATTGGTAGTTTTTTTCTGAAATTGCCTTGAATTTCTGGCAACCCCTTGTCAATGTACTGCTGCAACCATTTCTAAATTTATCTTCAGCAAAATTTTTCTTGCATATGATATTAATGATATGATTCAATAATATCTACATTCTGTTGGATCTCTGGAATAGAAACAAATATGGATCTCTTCTAGTCAACTACATATGAAACACAATATTCAACCCCAAGAAAGGATTTGTTGTAAGTCAATGTCTTTTTCTATACCTGTGACAAGTGCTAGGCGTTCCACACCAGCAAAATCTGCATGCTCAATAGCCATAACCCCAGCAGCACCAAAGAGCTGTTCAGGGTAATTATAAATTAACTGCCTGCAAATAAAATACATATAATTATTATGTCGCAAATGAACAATTCAGAAAACAAAAGACAACCTATTCATGACTCCTAAGACATGTAATGCCCACATACATTTTTTCCATCTCTAGGTGGTCAGTCAGAAGCTGCTCTCCCACTTTCAGCAATGTGCTGCAAACTTGTGGAAAACTGTGGATACATATACCTAAAGAAACTGGCCTTATACCACTGAACCCAGCACTAGAGACCTGTTGGGACCTGTGTCCACTTATCTTGTAAAAATTCATTACTAGGTAATTTTTTTTACAATTTCATTCAAAACTACTTCCATTACTGGAAAAACATGGTTTCAACGAAAAAAAAAAATTCAAAGCAGAAAAACAATCAGCCTTAATAGTGAAAAATAGCATAAATATTTTTTACCTCATTAATAATAGCCCCCCACCCCAAAAAAATGTTTTCCTTCTTGATGCCTTGGTTTGTAGGTCCATTCCTTATTTGAGGTGCTGATTCAGAAAATGACATTTGGATAGATTACAACATATCTAGTTTCTTGGAATATGGTGCTCCACTATATTTTAAGTTCCACTATATAATTTAAAAATTCCAATTATTAAGTTATATTAATTTACCATCCTAATTTTAAATATGAGAATTCCAGGATATGTCAAAAAAAGTAAGACATACTTGAAAAAGAATTAGGCATTAAGGAACTTCCAGGGGAAACTGTATATGGGCCCATGGTGGCTAGCTGTTTACACACTGAGCTGTTAATCCTAAAGTCAATGGTTCAAACTCATCAATCTGTAGTCTTTAAAAACCCATATACAGAAGGTGAGAGGGCAATGTAGTGTCAAAAATATGACTTCATAACAATTTTCATAAATATTTTGAATAAATTTTTCTTCAAATTATGCAATAACATTTCCAAGCAAGTTTTAATATATAAAAATCAATGTGTAACTCATGTTAAATGTTTCAAAGGTGAGGTTGATTCCAAAAAAATTCTAACTTTTCTTGGGAGTTTTTCTGTGTACAGGTGTAGAAGTTGTGCCATCGTATAACAAGACAGGAAAGTGTTCATTTTAACAAAGGACTTTGACTCCAACAGATTCATTTTGGGTTTCAGCACATGTGAGTCTCTGATACCAAACTCACTACCAGTAAGTCAATTCAAACTCACAGCAACCCTGTTTAACATAGTGGAACTTCCCAGTGGGTTTCTGAAGCTGTAAATCTATGTGAGCAGAAAACCTCTTTCTTTTACAGAACAGCTTAGTGGGCGACCTTGTGGTTGGCAGTCAAATCCATTACGGCAAGAAGGCTTCTTATTTCTGGCCCCCTTTTAAGATGACAAAGTGGAACTGCCTGCTATTCAGTTCCTAATAAAGCTGAAGGGATACAATTGACGCAAATATTTAGTGCAACACAACCTACTTTAAATGAAGCCAATGTGCACCTCCTCTCTCTGAGGATAGCTAACACAACATTAACATATGCTGATGATTTCTATGGATGAGCAGAGTGAGGAGTGGTATATGGCACACGTTCTGTCTCAAAAGAGGGCTGATGGGGTAACTCTAATGCCATTTTTTGGAATCAGCAAGTCAAATACACCCAGGAACAAGTTTAACATTTGAGGCACCAAAATGTGTTTTGGTCAGTGTAATCAAACATATGCAATCAGAATAAAGTTATCATTTATTACCTTTGCAATGCTAAATTATAACACCAGCCTACTCATAACTATCATTGAAAGCAATTTATCAGAAAACCGTATCAATGTTCATGTGCTTTAATTTCGCTTCTGCAAATCTACAGCAATTTTTTTTAAACTTTGGGAAAAAATTTATGTACTGTATAGTAAAAAATACTACTCACCTAAAAGTCCACTAAAAAAGTACTCACAAGTCATAATTTACCGATTACATTCAGAAAACACCCAAATTTTAAGTAAAATTATGTACTTTAACAAGTTACATAACTTTATAGCATATGATCACAAGTGAAAAAATGAAACTAAAAACACACATCAACTGACAAACACAAGTCAACATAAAAAACTGAGTAGATTTTCCATGTCTACTCTTTATGCTTCTCTATTTTCCAGAATGAACACATACTACATTTTAAAATGACACTTAAAAATCGATATTGCTAGACAAAATATGTAGACATTAAAAGATCACAAAGTATTTCAGAAAATCGGGCCTTAAACTTTCTCCTCAAACATTAACCATTACTCTTCACTTCCCAAAAATTATGTAGCATTATTTCACTTATTGAAATGTTGTTCCTCTTGCTATTTTTACCATTCAAAACAATCCGAATAAACCTTAAGATACTGACCTGACCATTGGTATACAAGTTGTTATATTCCATGCAAATTAATGCCATCACATGCCTACCTTATGTCATCCCCTCAGTTTTTTTTCCCTGATCTTAGTTTTTACTACTTCAAACTTATCATTTAACGTGGAATTAAATCTCTTCTCCAATTATGAGGGAGCTCTAAAAGCTTCATGGAAAAATTTCATTATCTTTTAATTTCTACTACTTAACATAACCACAATCAGAAGACTCTTGCAGTTATTGCTAATACAATAAAATTTCAAAGTACATTAGTTTAAAAATAACACTACGTTCACTGTAAACTATTATACGAAGATACATTTGGGGGGAAAAGTAATTCCTAATAAATAAGTAACTAATTCAATGTCAGGCATTTCCCTAAGTATTCATAACATCTTAGGCTATTACACATATTAACACAAACACACAGACCTGTTAATAAAGCAATTGATTCCATGCTTAAGAATTCGTTCAACTTTCTCCTTCATTTTTTCCTTTTCTGCATGTTCTATTTCTGCAACCTTTGCTGTAGAATCAACTCTTACTCTGGAACCAAATATCTACAACAAAGAAAGCATAAAATAGACTACCAGACTGAACATATTTCAACATTTTTATGGAGCTTAGCAAAAGTCTGTGTACATATGTAAAAATCAACTCAATGGTAGTGGGTTTGGTGTGCTGGCACAAAAACAGCTAATTGCTACGTTTTCCCCAACCTTTCTGGGTTTGACAGCAAGCAATTGAAATTTCAAAAAATGTAGTCACACACCTTTATTTTGTCTGTATCCATTCCAGTATTTGCGATAAGAATTTTGGCATTTTCAATACGCTTTGGTTGATTTACTCCAATTTTCTTATCTAACAGAAAACCTATAATAAAGATAAATTGTATTAAATATAGACCCTAGGGCTATGTAAGTAAATCTTATTAATCTGTTTGCTTTACCACGTTGGTCTTTCAAAAAAATGATGGAAGTTCAATTGCCAAGCTCTTAAAATAAAATCAATAGCATCGATAATGTGAACATAAAATATTAAAGACTTTCATTATTCAGTGAACACCTCAAGAGAAAACATGCTGTAAAGTCAGACACAGAGTACTGTTAGATACTGAGCTTTAAAAAAACCCTTAAGCACGATGGCCAAACCTGGCCCTATGCATATACTCTTGCTGGTTACTGGCTGTGCAACCGTAGATACGCATCTGTTAACTGGGAATATAAGCAGTAGTAGACAAGTCTTCTACTGGCCTCAAGCTGTGATTTGAAATCATCCGAGGAACCCATTAACAGTCTACCTCTACAAAATTTAAAGAAGAAAATGACTAAACACCATCAAGTCTCATTTAAGTTTTCTGTTCTAATTAACCTGAGTGAATGCTAAGTAACTGGGTCAGAATGAAGACAAATTGATGAGCCCAGTGGTGCAATGGTTAAACATTCTGCTGGCTAGCAGAAAGGTAATTCAAACCCACCTGCCCTGAGAAAGATGAGACATGACAGTCTACCTCCATTAAGATTAGTTTTAGAAAACGCTATCGAACAGTTCAGTGTTGTCTTACATGGTTAACAGTACTCTGTGTCTGCTAGAAACCTGTCTCCTTTGTAGAAAAAAAGGGGCACTGTGCACATCATATGACCAGAAATGGGAATGGTGTTCCACCACCACAGGACATCACTTTGAAAATGTGTTGCTCTCCACAGCCCTGCCAATAATCCAGTCTCCCACATCAGGCTCCTCAAAGAGTTCACTGTCCCTCTTCCAAGTCTCCCATGCAGGGCTTCAACCTGTAATTTTTCCATTTGCAATTACTGTTCTAATGCACCCACAAGTTTAAATTTGAAGCAGTAAAAAACAAGCCGTTTGCAATAAAGTGACAGGTTTCTAGCAGGCCTTTGGCCCATGTTTCTAATTCTAGTTAGCATCTACCTTTGTTTTTATCTTTCTCCATGAGCAGCTCCTAATAGGCCTTATATATAAATTCAACTAGGAATACGGCTGGCATTTTCTAACTCCCTTGCAATAACACATGACATGAAGCAAAACTACAATATCAAACCACTGGTCAGACAGAAATTGTAAATGATAACTTGTTCCTTTTTTCCTTTTCTTATTAAAAGAATGCCTATATTCTCATCAATGGCCATATTTTGTGAATAAACTGAAAAATAAAAAAACATACCATATATTATGTAAATGTAACAAAACACTATAAACAAAACACATTAAGGCATTTAACAGCAACAACCCTAAGTGCTTTAAATCATGAACAGAATTCAATCTTAACAAAATAATCCAAAACAGGGGAAATTAAGATGAATTTAAGACTAATACCAAGAGCAGTATACTTAATACCAAGAATTCTTAACCACAACTTAGTTTTAACTACTTAAACATATGCACATCCTTCCAAGAGAATACATGCCACCCTGAAAAGAAGCATTATTTGAGGTTAACTCACTTAAAAGTTAACTACAATTTCTCATTAATTATAAATAACTTCACAATATTAAGCAAAACGTACCAAGTATTATAGAAATGTTGGGATGATGTGCGAAGATGACACGTCAGTATAACAAAAAAGCAAAAATGTTTGCAGTATGGCTTGTATTACTAAGCACATATTTTTTCTGGCTTTGCATAGCAGCACTAGCTTTAGCTAAAAACATTCATTTAGTAGCTAGCACTCAACATCCAAAGCGATTTTCCCATATCCAACATACATACACACCTTCATCTAAATAGGAATCTGCCAGACTTCCTCCGAGCTTCTTGATAACATGAATTGCCTCCAGATTACCAGAGCCTTTTAGTCTGAGAACAGCTTCTACAGCTAACGTAGTGAAGTGATCTTTGTGGTGAGTAAGCAGCTTTGAAGATAAGGTGGTTCCTGCAATGTTCATTAAATCTTGACGGAATTTAACTTCATCCGAACTTTAAAAAAAAAATTACACATTTGAATTTCTCCGAAGATTTTCTAGCTTGCTTTTCAAAAGCGATATTCTGAAGTCAAACAGATAATTTCACCCCAACTCTAAGTGCTTTAAGTCATGAACAGAATTCAACCTAACAAGAAAATAAATTAATTAAAAGACTCCATTTTCCCAATAATCAGCAAGTTACACGAAAGAGAAAATAAAACACAAGGGAAGAAAAAAATTTCAAAACGTGGGGAAACAAATGTTGTCACATATCTTATGGATACAGACATTTTTCTACAGGCTTTTTTGGTTAAAAAAAACTTATTTTTAAAAATATATGATGTATACCATCTGGAAATTAAAAAAAAGAAATCACATATTAAAAGGCTAAAAAGTTGGAAATACAGGGAATCCAGGGCGGATGAGCCCTTCAGGACCAGTGGTGTGAGTGGCGATACTGGGAGGGTAGAGGAAGGGTGGGTTGGAAAGAGGGAACCGATTACAAGGAACTATATGTGACTTCCTCCCTGGGGGGCAGAAACAGAAAAGTGGGTGAAGGGAGACGTCGGACAGGGCAAGATATGACAAAATAATAATTTATAAATTATCAAGGGCTCACGAGGGAGGAAACAGGGAGAGAGTGGGAAAATGAGGACCTAATTGTGGGGGGGCTTAAGTAGAGGGGAAATGTTTTGAGAATGATGAGGGCAATGAATGTACAAATGTGCTTTACACAATTGATGTATGTATGGTTGTATGAGCCCCTAATAAAATGATTTTTAATAAAAGACTAAAAAAGATCTTCATATATAGATATGAAAACTATACTATAGTCATATAATCAAATGTACAATTCTATTAGAATTAGTATTGCAGAGAATATTGATACCCCAAAATTAGAATTATTCATCAACTAGGTTAAAATCAGGCTAATCATCCCCTGCCTATTATTTTTGTTTTCTTTTTTGATGACATGTACTAGAATGAAAACTCTTAATTTTATTTGTTTCTTAACTCTGGGAGGGAATATAGGTCTCTTTGAGGGTAAAAAGAGGCAGGAGGGTCATGTGTGCACATGCTTTTCAATGCTCTCTAAATTTTCTGCATATTATGAAAAAGAATGATCTCTTAAAATAAAACAGTATTTGTTGTTGGTAAGGGTAATCTCATGATTACCAACCCATGATCCACTGCAGAACTCAAAAGAGCCTCTCTTGCTGCCTTTGTAGCTTCTCTCCAACCGCTAATGATGGTTTGTGGATGAATCTTTTTTGCAATTAAAGTTTCTGCTTCCTATTAATAAAAAATGAAAAGAAAAAAGAAAAACTCAGTAATCATTATAGGAATAATGTAATTACTTCTGATATTGCAAACCATGAAAACAAAAAGGAAAACCTTGCTAAAATTTGCTCAGGTAGTTTCTTACCCTTAATAGTTCTGCTGCTAGAACAGTAACAGAGGTAGTGCCGTCACCGACTTCATCATCTTGAACCCTTGACATATCTAGAAAAAAAATGGGTTACTCGTCTATACTTGATTCTTTTTAAAATTACATCAAGAGAGTTTAATTTCCCAAATATACCTACAACTACAATCTCTATCTCACATGTATGTTTCCTTGATCAACAAAGCCTCTGGAACTTTTAGTCTGGAATGCATAGTTTTACCACCAACACTTATTTGACACTCTAGAAACTTATATATTAATAGTAAGGACAATCGTAAAGCACAAAACATCAATTAATAAAAAGTATAATTAACACAGCCTATTAAATAAATATACCCGGTTGACAACAGTTTTTTATAATGCCATCCCTCCTCCTTAAATAAATCTTCAGACTCACCAACTAAAACTTTAGCTGCTGGGTTGTCAACACCAATGTTTTTTAGAATAGTTGCCCCATCATTGGTTACCATAAGAGCAGCATCTCGTCCACTGCTTAAAAGAATCTTGTCCTAAAGGTACATAATATACAAGGAGATTTTGAAGATCAAGTGCATCAATTAGTACTATCATACACTACTAGCGTGAAATCACTCTGATGGTTATTTTGCAGTATTCATTAAAAAAAAAATTTAGTGTATACATCCCAGTACCAAGCCTTGGCATCTACCCCTAAATGGATGAGCAGCATGGGGAGACATTACTATAGTAAAGTTTCAGTACTATAATAAAGAGTACAAAATGCCCATTTATATAGCTGTTAATTAAACTACAACCAAGCTTCAAAAACATGGACTTAGTATCTAAATAAAACAAAATATCATTACATGAGGGAAAACTTAAAACATATAACAGCCATACAGATCTTCCCCACTATCCAAAAGCAGAACCTTTCTATGAAACCTTTCATAAGCCAAAAAGTGTAAAGTGAAGAAACAATTACAATTATATGAGGAAAAGTATCGAGTGTTCTAAGACACCCCCCAAAAAAGCCAAACCAAATTCACTGCCATCATGTTCATGCTGAATCATAGCAACCTTGTAGGGTGGCAAAACTAACCCCATGAGTTTCCTAGACTTTTTACCACGCCTCCTTTTTCTTCCATATAGTGGTTGGCGCTTTCAGTTAGTTCAATGGGCCTACACCAGGGCTCTTAAGACCCAAAACAATACAACCTGTTATAAGAGCTGTTTAAGAGCCCTCAATAAAAATAATTAAAAATAAATAAATACAACCTATCAAATCCCACAAAAGCTGATGACATCAGCAGGTAAACGTTGGGATTGCTAAATGCAAGGTCAGAGGTTCAAACCCACTAGCTGTTCCTCTAGGAGCATGCTCCTGTAGACTTACAGCTTTAGCGGCCATAAACAGGGGCCGCTCTATCAGAATCGATTATGTGAGATGATGTTCACAGACACAGTTCAAAGCTACGGCAGCTTGACACTGAGTGTACTCAGCTTAGTAACTCAGCAGCTACGCACCATCTGACTTTAAAGGCTAGCTCAGTGGTTCTCAACCTGGGGGTCGCAACCACTTTGTGGGTCGAATGGCCCTTTCACAGGGGTCGCCCGATTCATAACAGTAGCAAAGTTACAGTTATGAAGTAGCAATGAAAATAATTTTATGGTTGGCGGTCACCACAATATGAGGAACTGTATTAAAGGCATTAGGAAGGTTGAGAACCACTGGGCTAGCTGCTAAACACTAGTTTGGCTTTTCGCCTTTTTTTTCATACATGTGAAAGTCCTCATCAGATTTCTTTCAGTTAGTGAACACACGCTAGAGTAGGTTTTTCATAAAACTTAAGGTGCCATCAAGTAAGCTTCTGAACGACATACAGGGAGATAACAGTGGGATCAGAGGATTTATGAGTAGTTCTGGTTTTTATGGAAAATATACTTGTGTCTTACTTGCACACTTGAAAAATTCATCATCAATAACTCCCCTCCCTCAAAACGAGTTTGTTCTTAAAGGAATGGTTAATGGCTCTAAAACAGTATTAAAAGGTACAAATACAACCGTTTTTCTTACCATGCCTTTGGGTCCCAAAGTGCTCTTTACCAGGTCTCCAATAGCAATGGCACCAATAAATGACGACTGCGGCAAAAAAATCAAAGAGACGATCAGAATTAGCCAGATTCAGTCACAGGTGAGATACTTTATTCTCAAAAGATGGGCGAAAACCAGGCTCACCAGACGGGCGGTCTCTGCTCTCTCTTCATCAGCTCCAGCCTTGAATATGTTAACAGGAGCAAGAGAAAGGGACGCCTGAAATGGGAAAGAATGTCTGAATATGTGCTCTTTACCACGAGTCCCCTGCTAGGCCCACAACCCAATTACCCAAGAGTTCACATTTTCCAAGCAGCGAACGAAGCTCTCTCCACCATCGGCCCAGTGGCTTATTTAAAGCGAAGAGAGAGACATAAGCGAAGAGAGAGACATAAACGTTGTGAGGAAGGCGACTTTTCCCGTCTCAGGAATAAACACCAAACACTGATGAGATTTGTAGCACGGAGGAGGAAGGCACGTGGACATTGCTTGCCTCACGCGACACAAGCGCCATTTTCGCCCCCGGGGCGCGCTTTCCGCCCGCTGCACGCTCCGCCCCCGGGGCGGGCAGCGTCGGCGCCGCGGCACTAGAAAATTCTCCGCAACGGGCGGGCGAGGGGAGGCCCGCCGTTCCAGGACTAAGCCGATTTGGAGACAGCCGTTATCCCTGAGGCGCGCCCCTCCCCCGACGACAGAGGGTTCCCACCAGCAGGCCGCGGGCAGGCCACACGCCCCGCCGGCGCCATGTGCGGCGGTCGCCGGACAGACTCGGAGTCCGCGGCCGTAGGCGGGCAGAGGGGGCAGAGAGGCGGCACAGGGCAGGCACCGGGACCAGGCGCCGGGGGCCAGGCTCACCATGATTCCAAGGAGTTGGGCTCGCAAGCTAATCCCTCACGGACCGCCCCGGCTAACCAGGAGAGAAGAGGGAGCCGGAAGTGACGCCGCACGTTCTCCTGAAAGGGGCGGGGCCGCGTCCGGTGCTCAGTTCCGGCCTAGCGCCTTCGGCCGCCGACGAAGAAAGGGAGTGACGTGTGGAGAGGAATCTGGAGATCCGGAAACGAGGCCCGTCCCACTGGAGGGGCGGGGGCTCCGTTCGCTCCGCCCCCCGAGGGACCGCTTTCTCCGCGGGCGGGAGGAAAGGAGGCCTGACGTTTGGCTTCAGGCGTAGCGGATTGGGACCAAGTTTGTTGAAGAACAAAGAGATGCTGCGTTGCGGTGGTGCAGTGGCCACGGAGTTCTCGTTCAAGTCTCACAGTTTTCCGTTAATAACTTTAAAAGTTTTGCATTAAAATAAATAACACATGTTGTTCTTGTTAGAAGCTGTTGAGTCCGTTCAAGCTCAAAGCAGCCCTGTGCTCGTTCAACAGAAGGAAACAGTCATTGCGTGATTGCACCATCCTCACATTGTTATGTTTGAGCCTGTTCTTGCAGCCACCGTGTCAATCGCCTTGTCAAGAGTCTTCCTGTTTTGTGCTGACCTACTTTACCAAGCATGATCTTTCCCAGGAATTAGGCACTCTGCCTAACATCAAACTATGTGAGACAAGGCTCACCACCCACCACCGGCACTGGAGCTTTTTGGTTTTACTTCCTAAAAGACAGATTTGTTGGTCCTGGCTGTCCACGGTACTTTCATTATTCTTCACCAGCACCACAATTCAAATGCATCCATTCTTCTGCACAATTCCCTCTTCATTGTCCAACTTTCACAAGTGTCGGAGGCGATAGAAAACACCATGACTTGGTTTAGGCGTCCTGAGAGTGACATCTTTGCACTTCAACACTTTGAGAGAGATCTAGTGCACCAGATTTGCCCAATGCTTCGTTTGATTTCTTTAACTGCTGCTTCCACGAGCATTGATTGTAGATCCAAACGCTAACAATAAACTCGTAAATGCTATCAAGTGCCTCATCACTACCTATCCCCACAGAGGCAACCGCACCTTCACATTTTTTAGCTTTGGGGGTGTGGGTGAGTGGTTATTTACTGTCGTATTCCTAAATATGTTTATCACTTTTTAAAGTTTAAGCATTTAGTGAGTATAACGAAGAAAAAATTGCTTTCCTTTTCTTGAGTTTATTTTTTATTTTTTAATTTTGGGTTGGGTGAAGCTTTAGGAAATAATCCATTTCCATTCAAAAATTCAAACACATTTTGTTCATCTTCTTGCTTGCATTCTTCACAATGTAACTGTACTTATCCTATTTACTCCTTGTGTTTCTTTCCTAACCCTTCCTGCTTTCTAAACTTGTCCTTGAACAACACTGCCCTTTTACTTCAAATGGTTGATGATTCTAAGGAATGCATGCTTCCCTAATGTTACTGTACATCTTACAAAATTATTATTTGGCTAGGACCCCTGATGACTATGCCTCGGGCTACTAACCTCAACGTCAGCAGTTCAAAACCACCACTTACTAGATGAGGCTTTCTACTCCCATTAAAGAGTTACAGTCTCAGAAATCCATCTTGGCCAATAGGATCGCTATAGGTTGGAATCAATTCGATGGCATTGGTTTTCGTTTTTTTTATGGTTTGGTGAAAATTCAAAGGCAAGTAGATTTCATCCCATGCTTGAAGGGTGACAAAGAGTCTTAGTTTGGGGCTTCCACCAGTCTCTACCAGTGAGCTTAATCTCTCTCCTCCCCTCTTCTGCTCCCCCAATGATGTTGAGCATTATTTACTGAACATAGTGTCAGAACACTTGCTTTCCTTTTATTGAATTTCATACACCGTTTCTAATTGGATGTTCGTTGATTGCACCAACCAAACCTTGCCCTGTAATGTGAATATTTTCTTTATCTTTGCCCTATTTATTCATTTTTATGTTTACATTTTGCATTTTTCTCTTCATAATATAATACCATTATATAATGCTTTACTCTTCTCCCATGGAAAGTCTAGTGGGTCAGCTCCTATGAAGATTAACAGCTAAAAACTCTATGAACCCTCTGTCCTGTCGGGTCACCATGAATCAGAATCAATCAACTGGAGAATACACTATCACACAACAGCACAACAATGTCTTTGTAGAGATCAAGATCAATCCAAAAGATTTCACTGTATTAAAAACAGTTTTCTATTTTCCTTGCCTCCATGACAGCTAAAGCCGTGTGTGTGTGTGTGTGTGTGTGTGTGTGTGTTTGTGTGTGTGTGTGAAAAATATCCATTGGTTGTCGGTAATTCACAGCTATTCCTATACCTACTTTTCTTTAGCTAAATGATTACTTGGAACAAGATTCTGAACTTACCTTTACAATTTCTAACACTAAATGTTCCATTGTTTCTACCCTTCAGATATATTGTAAAGTAAATTGGTTTACACAGGACTTGGCAAACTATCAAGGAGCTGAATCCCTAATCCAGCCTGGTGCTGGGTTGTGTATGACCGGAGAGCTAAAAGAGTTTTAATATTTCTTAAATATATGAAAATATAGAAAATAGCAAATTTCATAACACATGCAATTCAAAATTTAGTGTCTGTAAGTAGATTGATTGAAACACAGTCATACCCATTCATTTTGTAATGTCTATAGCTGCTTTCATAATACAATGGCAGAACAGAGTAGTTGTGACATCGACTAAGGCTCACAAACCTAACACATTTACTACCTGGTCCTTCACAGAAACAGTTCTCCAACTCTGATTCACACCATCCTGAGGGCCAAGACGACAAAGAGGGTTCAGACTAGGAAAACAGTTCATTGAAATCTTTCAAGAATTGTCTGATTTGGGGGAGAATTGTCTTTCCAGAAATGCTCTTTAATGCACAGATCCCAAATTGCACTCTGGAATGGGTGGAATTACAATAATGAGAAACTAATATGATTGCATAATGTTGTAAAAGGCTGTTTTGTTGTGGATGTTACACACCTGGAAATAGTTAATATGATAGAAGTTAGAGAGCGCACAGGCAGAGTGAGGGAAAAGAGGCCCCTAAGGAAGCATTGGGAGTGGCAGCCTGTATGGAGGGGTGATTTCAACAGTCAAGGACAACTTAAATCTTAAGGCGGCTGGCACCAGATCCTTATGCTGACTTTAAACTCCAAAGTCAGCAAGCCCAAGACTCTTTTTTTGCTGACCCATTGCATGTTTATTGCCTTGTCCATGCCTGTGCAAAACCAGGCCATGCACAGAGTGGGGCCAGGTTCACAACTGGCCCTGAGAAATAGGACTAGACCCAGGATTGATTCATTTCTAACGTGGAAACACAGACCAAGTACGCCACATGTGAAAAACGCCCCGAACACAGTTCACTCAGTGGCAACCCACTCGAGTCCTCACCTGCTGTGTCACATGCTTTCTTTCCTTTCCAAATAAACTCTGCGTTCTGCTTGCCATTTGTACTCTGTGAGCCCGTTCTTTGGTTCTGGAGACCAGGAGCCTCTGGACCCATCCAGCAGTTGCAACATTTTGGCACCCAGCAGGGGGCATCTCGACAGAATAAGCCAATGAATGAACTCCAGCCCATCCTCTCCTTTGCGGTTCCCAATGGAAGGGGTCAGGTCGGCTCTGCAACTTGAGAAGCAATGGGCAGCGACGCTTGAACCTGAGCTTATTCTCAGACCTTAGCAGCTATTCCTTTCCTAAGAGAGTTCTCCTTCCACCTTTTAAAGTCCTCCGTCTGACTCTGAAGGCTGGGAGGCACAAGTGACCAGTGGTCCCACGATGCCTGACTCTGAATTCAGATTGACCCGGATGGTGCAGAGTGAATGGTCCACTACAGTCTGGCTTGAGCAAGACTTTCAATTGGATTCTTTCAGTCTCCTCTCCATCCCTCTCCACCCTTCTAGTCCTTCCTTTTTCCATGATGCATGGGGAACCCTCCTTACCAAAGGCCAGAGGGAGAAACTATGCTGGTTATTGAGGAAGATATCCCAGAGTTGTCCTTAGTGCCCAGGAATTACCTCCAAGGAGCCCCATCTGGAGTTCACGGAGATAAGTGTAGACTCCCGGGGAATGGGGGGTGGGGGGGGAGCGCCGCAGGCGGGGTGGGGGTGGGGGTGGGGGAGGGAGATCCCAGGAGGCGCTCTCCTTCCATTTCCAGGGTATGTCTTCTCACATGACCTGCACATGCAGCCACTTCTCACCCCAGGGATTTTTCAAGTACTACCTTTTGATTGCTAATTTAGCAATCCCAACATTACATCTCCTCCGTGGTGAGCTAGTTCAGATCGGGTTTGTGACAAATGGTTTGCAGGAGCTTCCAGAGAGCCCAGTGAGGCCTTTGAGAGCAAATGGGGAGCCAGTTCATTGATGGCCTTTTGTTCCCAACAACTGCAGGAGCCATCATTCCTCCCTCGACAAGTTTTCATTTTCTGATCCTAGTAATTAGATGATTAGGAGCTCAAGGGCCCCTCCAGAAATACTATTACTGGACGGATGGCCCTCCTGAGCTTCCAGTAGCTGACCTCTTCTCTGAATGGACACCAGGGATGGGTCCGTGAACCCTGGGGGAGCTTTTCAGGTAACAGAGCCTGAAATACTGAGCAAGTGTTGCATTTCTCCCTCCTGCATGTGGTATGAGGATGGGGGTAGGGGGTGGGGTGGTGGGTGGGAGGGTGGCGGGAGGCCTGTGGTGGTCATGTCACAGGGTTTCCAGTCCTGGCCACAGGGGGCGCTCTATGGTCAAAACTCCTGGCCCACAGTCACAGTTGAAGGTCTTTGCCTCTTTCCTCTTAGACGGGCACTTTTTTGTCACCGTATCTGACAAGCCACTGGGCTGCACATTGAAACATCAGTCTCTGATCCCCAGATCCTAAAGGATGCTTGGTTTTCTTTTGTGATAAGCCTTCACCCCAATATAAACTTTCCGCTGGAGAACAGTGGGCCCCGAAAAAAGCATTCATTATAACGCCATCCTTTAATTAGAATTATTTTGCAAATGGAAGGACAGGTAGTCTGAACTTCCCTATGTGCAAGCTGTTTTTGCCCTCCACGGTAATCAGAAGCTA